GGGGGGGGGTGTGGTAGGAAAAAGGGAACAGGTGGACAAGGACGCAGAACTATATATGGTTTAACAAAAAGTGTCCTTTATTTCAAGGTAAAATGTAACAAAAAGAACACTTAATAAATCAAAAGATGCACTCAGGCAAAACACGGGAAATTGCACAGGGAAGACATGAAAGAACTTACGAGGAACGTGGCGAGAGGTGACGGGACACATGAACATGACGAGGAATGACGAACATGATGATAAACAACGGGATACTAGAACATGACGAGGGACGACGACGAACCAACAACCACATGGGGGGAACAACAAGACTTAAATACACACTTGAACTAATGAGTAACTGGAGACAGGTGGCACAAGACAAACAGGTGATCATGATGAGGGCAGGAAGTCAACTGGGGAAATCACATCAGGAACTACAAAATGAAGCAGAAAATAGAGGAACACTGAACAAACTTAAAACATGAATTCAAAACGTAACAAAAAGACTGTTGAAACATGAACTGAAAACAGTCTTCATGAAGGAGGACAAAAATACAATAACCATGACAGGGATGAACACAGGAGAAGCACAGGGTGGAACACAGAGGAAGGCAGAAGGGAACATGAGAGGAACACAGGGTGAACATAGCGAGGGACAAAGAGGGGAACACAGGAGAGGGACACAAGAGATGGACACAAAGAACAAACTTAAAACATGGATTCAAAACGTAAAAAAACAATGTTTAAACTTTAACTGAAAACACTCTTTATACAAGAGGAGAAGAATACAATAACCGTGACAGAAAACACCATACCCGTGACAAAATACAATACCTGTGACAGAAAATACCATTAAGTGACAGAATACAATACCCGTTACAGAAAATACCTTAACGTGACACATTAAGCCAACAGGTTAATAGGGAGGGGGTGTGATGACCCTTTCCAGTATGCCTGCCTGTCTCATTCTGCTCTCTTGCAGTTGCTGGGAGTTGGCTGGTAGGAGGAGCCGGGAGGGAGTGACAGGTCTCTCTCAGCTGGGCCTGCTGCAGCCACATGTCCTTTGTTTGGTTTGTTGCACCTTACAACACACACTACACCATGTTCTCACCCATCCACACACTCCTAACATGACTGATGACCTTCCTACTTACACACCCCATCCATTAGTTACTTAAATAAACTATTTTTTGCTTGTTATTTCTGTGTGTGGCCTCCCTTTCTGTTGCCGGCCTTGAGCCAGGCGGTAACACAGGCTACAGGAATAAGATTTGATTTGAGGAGTGGAGCCTTTAGGTGAAGTTTCTACCTCCCATTCACCTCTTACAGACTCTGGATACCACAAGTAAACCTGTATTTTCAGAGCAAAGTGATCTCTGGGGATAATCTGGTGCCATCAGCTCTTTGATACTGTATATGACGTGGCTTGATTATTAAGGGCTTTGTATGTGAGGAGCAGGATTTTAAATTCTATTCTAAATTTTACAGGGAGCCAATGCTGAGAAGCCAAGTCAGGCATAATATGATCTCTTCTTCCAGTTCCTATGAGTACTCATGCTACAGTGTTTAACTGGGGGGATTTTCAAAGACTTACTTGGACAGGTAACAAAAGCATGAACTAATTTCTCAGCATCCGTTTAAGACAGGGTTTTTCTGATTATTCCCAAGACTTTGCTGAACACACAGATATTTTTTGACTTTGGGGCTCCTTCCAGAGATGTTCTCTCAAAATTAAAATTAGACCCAATGAAGAGAGCCAATGGAAAACTACAGTTATAAAAATTGATACAGCCAAAAGTTTAGCTCTGATAGATTTCATAGTGACATTTCTGTGAAGCCAACATGTTTTCCTACATTTTCCATTTGTGGCTATGAGAGCAGTTTAAGCACACAAAAAGTAGCTGAAAATCCCATTGATCATTTGACGAAAGTTATTTGACAAAAGTCTTAGAAAAGTCATAGCACACCATTCACCATAATTCTGCATGTTTTTGTTTGTTGTGTCTGTGGCAAACTGAACATTTATGGAAGATGTTTCAAGCAATAATAATGTTAGCAATGCATTGCAGTGCTTGTACTAGGCACACATAATGAAAATAAGATTCAAGATTCAAAGATTTTTATTGTCAAATACACAAGAGAACACACGTTTCCCTGTGAATTGAAATTCTTGTGCTGTCCTTTCTGGAATACCAGCCGACTAAAATTTACATTAGAATACAATATTTACATAAAATACAATAAGGATATGAACATGTTAAAAGTAAGACAGAAACAAGGCAAATGAGGTGAATAAGGTGAGGATTGTGCAAAACTGAGCAGTGCAAATTGAACAGTAACAGTAAAAAATAGAATAAAAATGTAATATAAATTTAAACAGTACAAATGGAATACTTTATGTTAAAGTGCAGACCAGTGTTGCAGTTTGTGAGGGAGGTTGTAGACTCCTGTCAGCTGTTTAGGAGTCTAATGGCAGTGGGGAAGAAATTGTTTTTAAGTCTGGTGGTCCTACATTTAACACTTCTATACCTCCTGCCTGAGGGTAGTGTGAACAGTCCATGTTGGGGGTGGGTGGGGTCTTTAAAAATGGAGGCAGCTCTCCTGTGAACCCTGCGGTGGTAAATGCTCTGCAGAGAGGGCAGTGAGGTCTTGATGACTTTTTCTGCTCTCCTCACCACTCTCTGCAGGCGTTTGTGGCCCATCGTAGGTGTGCTGCCATACCACACGGTGAAGCAGCTGGTCAATATGCTCTCGATGATGCAGCTGTAGGAGTTGCTGAGGATCTTAGGAGTCATCCCAAACTTCCTCAGCCTCCTCAGGGAGTACAGCCGCTGTTGAGCCTTCTTGACTAGCTGGGTTGTGGTTAATGCCCAGGTGAGGTCCTCACTGAAGTGGACCCCGAGGTATTTAAAGCTGCTCACCCTCTCAACTTCAAGCTCCTGGATGAAAAGGAGTTGATGAGGTCTCCTCTCCTTCCTCATGTCCACTATCAGCTCCTTGGTCTTGTCAGTGTTGAGGGTGAGGTTGATATCCTCGCACCATGACACCAAACTGGCCACCTCCCTCCTGTAGGCCGCTTCGTCTTCCCCAGTGATGCGTCCTATCACTGCGGTGTAATCCGCAAACTTCAGGACAATGTTGTCTTTATGGGAGGTGACACAGTCGTGGGTAAACAGGGTGTAAAGAACGGGGCTGAGGACACAACCCTGTGGGGTGCCAATGTTGGTGATAATGCTGGCTGAAGTCCTGTTTCCAACCCTGACAGACTGAGGCCTGCCAGTCAGAAAGTCAAACAGCCAGTCACAGAGGGTGGGGTGCAGACCGAGTGTGGAGAGTGTAATGATGAGTTTGTGGGGGACGACCATGTTGAAAGCGGAGCTGTAGTCGACAAAGAGCATCCTTATGTAGGAGTCCTTGTTTTCTAGGTGAGAGAGGGAGTAGTTGAGGGCAGCAGCTGTGGTGTCTGAGGTGGACCTGTTGTGTGTGTGTGCCTCTCTGTGCTGGAGCTGGAGGTCTCGAAGCGGGTGTAGAAGATGTTGAGGTCATCTGGTAGGCTGTCTGTGGAGCTGATGGTGCTGGTGGTGGTCCTGTAGTCTGTGATGTGCTGTAGGCCTTGCCACATCCGCCCRGAGTCAGCAGTGGAGTAGAAGCCATACAGCTTCTCTCTGTACTGCTTCTTTGCCGCTGTGATGGCTTTTCTCAGTTGGTACTTTGCAGCTTTGTACTCAGTCTCATTGCCTGATCTGAATGCAGTAGAGCGAGCATGCAGCATCTGACGTACCTGACTGTTAATCCAGGGCTTCTGGTTTGGGAACTTCCTGACTTGGCGGGCACAATGTTGTCTACACAAGTGCTTATGTACCCAGTCACATACTCAGCAGCATACTCCTGTATGCTGAAAGAAGAGTCCTCCCTTGTGGCTGCAGCTTTGAACACATCCCAGTCTGTTTGAGCAAAACAGTCCTGCAGGATGCCCTCAGTCTCTGTGCTCCAAAGCTTAACTGACTTTGTGATAGGGTTTGATTGTTTCAGTTTTTGTCTGTAAGCTGGATACAGGAACAATGAGATGTGGTCCGAAGTGGGGGCTGCCCTGTATGCACTGCGTATGTTGGTAATATTTGGGAAATACAGTCCGTAAATTACACTGATTGAAGTCTCCAGTGGTGATAAGGACGGCATCAGGGTGAGCCGTCTCTAGCACACTGATGACGTCATGGAGTTTGCTGAGCGCTGCTGTGGAGTCGGCTCGCGGGGGGATGTAAACAGCGGCCAAAAACACAGCAGTGAATTCCTTTGGTAGATAGTAGGGACGGCATTTCAGCAGTAAAAACTCCACATGCAAATAAACACAAGCAATTATAGTATGTGTGCGATGCATTGCCTAGTGGTGCTTGCACACACAATAATAAGTAAACAGTGCGAAAACATAATTATAATTAACTTGCGAGATAATAATATGTACACAAATATACACAAGAAATAATATGTGTGTGATGCCACAAGGCTTTTGATGTATTTCTACATTTATGTATTTTCTACATTTATTCATTCAAGTATTTAGATATTTTTACATTTATTGATTTCAACTTTTATTATTATTCTTATTTAATGAGTAAGATCCTGCTGAAAATCATGGCTCTTATCTGTAATCACAAAGCTATGGTTAGCTGAACCAAAGGATCTGCTTGACACAGGATCTAAAGTCTGTTTGTAGATCTTTTTTTGAACTCATCTTCAATGCAGGGAGCTAAAGGGCAACTCACCACAGGCAATGTGACATTTTACCCGGCACTGAGTGTTCCTCACTTATGTGTTGTGCACATGAGGTGGCAGATTTGATAATTGGCTAATTATTATAATTGCTACTTCTTTAATTACAAATAGAATTGATTAAACATAGTAACATCAATTCAAATCAATAATACTATCTCAACAAAGGTCCACTATACTAAAGACACTACTATCACAAGCAATTATAACGATTGTAACACACATGTGAATATGCTGGTATGTGTGTATGTGTGTGTGTGTGTGTGTGTGAAGGGGGAGAGAGAGGAGGTGGGATTAAAGATGGCGCACAAGGTCACCTTGGTGATGTTGTGTCACCAAATTCAATATGACAGCTGAACTGCATGATTTAATCAAAGGGAGGTTGAGAACAAAGGACAATGTGACCTAAGTCGTGGCTCTAGTCACAGAATGAAAATTTATGAGGGGACATCACTCAATCACACTATCTGGTCACCAGAAAAGCACAAAGCTGCGGAGACAGATCACAGGCAGGTCCTGGGGGGTCACGGGGAGTCTGTTGGCTTTCAGCCAATGAGAGGCAAGAGTTTGAATTCAGACAGCGGTTTGCAACTCAGGGGTCTACAAAGGAATTCTGGCACACTTTTGACTGCTAAAAACTCTGGCTCAGGAATCTGGGGTTACATGTAGGCCCCTCCATTGTTCTCTTTACCTGGCTTTTATCCCAACATATGTAATCTCTATAATTAAGTGACTGTCATTGCACTGCTGTGTTATAAGTGTAAAACTCATTAAATGGTAAAAATGGAGTAAGATTGTGTTTTCTAATGAAAATTTAACAATAAAAGTACAAGTACAATAAAGTTAATTTCTCAATAAAGCAAAACAACAAGATATTAAGAGGTTGAAAAACAGTAAGTGATTGCAAAAAAACATTATAAATAGATCCCATACAATTTGATAGGGTTTTAAGTTACAGTAGCTTTAAAGATACAGTGTGTAGAATTTTGTGATATCTAATGTTGAAATTGCATGTTGCAGCTGAACACCCCTCACCTGACCGTCTCCTTCCAAACATGAAAAATAAACTGTGGCAGCCTTCAGTTGTCATAAAAACTAAAAAGGTGTTTAGTTTGTCCAGTCTGGACTAATGTAAAAAACATGGCAGCCTCTGTAGAGAGGGTCCCCTTGATGTAAATATAAAGTAGTTGAATATAAAGGGCCTTTTCTGGGGTAAAGAAAACTACAATTCATACAATTTAGATAAAATGAACTAGAGAAAACATCATGAGAATTATTCTACATTAAATTCCTGCCAATAGTTCCCTTTCCCCTAAATCTCACACACTGGACCTTTAAGCAGCGTATTAATTGTAACCCTAAAGGGTACAAGATACAGTATATTGTAAAAACAATATTCTTGCTGGTTATCAACAAAATAATTCACCCCACACACACTCCATTGTTGCTTAATTCTGCTCAAACCATGGAGAAGCTGCTGGAAAAGAACTGAAAGAAAAATAAAATTTGACATTATTTGTCAAATTTCAGCAGTGGCATCCATGAGGTATTTCAAAATGTTCAAGTGTTAATATACCGAGGAAAGAACAAAACATACTGCTCTGAGGTAAGGGATATTTACAGCTGACAGCACAAGTCCCAAGGCCATTGGGAAGAAGGACCTAAAGCGGGAAACAAATAGTGTTGCATTAAAGCAGCAGCATCATCACAATTATTAGGGACAAAGATTAATTTGCAGCCTTGTTTTGTATTTGACAAAATTCCTACTTGAACTCACCTGAATAATAGCACAAAGCCGTAACTCTCCACCAGCATTCCAATGACTGGCCAATGGCACAGCACCAGAGACACACCTCCTAGGAAGAAAAAAGAACCTCGAAACTTGTGTCTTTGGCAGAAGAAGCAGGCCATTCTTCTAAAGCCAATGATGAATGTCAAGCCAGTCAGAAACAGGATCTAAAGGGAGATCAATCGGACAAAACGAGGAGAGGAAATATAAAAGACAATTCCACAGATTGACTTAGTGGGAGTATATGCAAATAGTCCTGCTTCTGAAAAATCTTTTCCACATATTTTAAATGATCAGTCTCTTTTTTTCTAGAGTGCTTCTACTCCTAGACTCAGAGACTGGCGGTGGCAAACCTATGCGAGATTCAAAACAGCAAGAGGTCACTATAGACCTGTTGTTTAGTATGTGTGCTGGAATAGAGCAAAGTCTCATGGGTAAGAGATCGGTATGTTGTTTAGACTGGCAATAGCTAGGCCTGGGACGATAACAAATTTTGCTGGACGATATATTGTCACACGAATTATTGCTGATAAACGATATTATTGTCAACATGATAATATATAATAATAATGCACACCCTTTCAAAAACAATACACTTTTATTTCTCAGTGTTTTTTACCTTTTGCGATGTAGCAAACTTAACTTTCAATGAGCGCACAACATTTTGCACTGTTCCGTTTATATTTACTTTGTCGACCGAACGCCTCAGTGAGTGTTGACTGTTGGGACGAAGGCTCTGCATCTCGAGCTGCACTTTGTTTCCCCAGCTGGTTAAACTGGGTTGGGTGGTGATGCTTTAGGTGGGCACGCAACTTTATTGTGTTGCCTTTTTTCGTTGCCACCACTTTTGAACTGGCTCGTCCGTGTTGATGGGCTCACCTTGCTCATTCGGTTTTAAGCCGAAATATTCCCACACCGGGGCTGTGGCATTTGACTTAGCAATCATCTTTTCTCCTCGCGTTGCTCCGCACAACGCTCACTCGCTGCACTCTGTGTGTGTAGCATGTGTAGCTAATGCTAGTGGCCCCGCCTCTCCCCACAGAGACAAAGAGGCTGGATGACTGACAAGAGGGTTCACTCCGTTCATTCCGCAACAAACGCCCCCAGGTGCTGAGACCGAGCACAGAGTGAACACTCTTGTCATCCAGCCTGCTTGGAGGCGAGAGACGAGGAAAACAAACACGCATGCACATGGCAATATATCGAGGCCAGAAAAATTATCGAGTTCATTTTAATTTATCGTGCGATTAATTGATTTATTGATTATCGGCCCAGGCCTAGCAATAGCATAAGCCAGTAGGTAGCCTCTAGTGAGCCATACCTAATTAAAATAAATATACTTAGTCAGTCATTTGTTAGTTTTGCCACATGCCCCCAACCAACACAAGTAAAATGTACACCTCCCAAAGAAAACCTGCATAAGGTGCAGGACACCTTAATCATAGCTGTGATATTTATAATTACATAACTCCATTTGATGAAATTATTTTTAATCTCTGTGTGAAATCTATAAAAAGCCTGTCGCTAGTCTCAAAGACTCCTAGCAGGTCCAAAAACTGAAGCAAGATGAGCGATTAGTCCATTATCCCTGTCAAACTAATGATCTGGGGCCTCATTTATAAATGTTGCATATGCATCTTTCAGACCCTATTTTGGCATACGCCACTTTTCATGCAAACGCTGGCATCTATAAAGACAAACTTGACGAGAGAATGTGTGTGTGTGTGTGTGTGTGTGTGTGTGTGTGTGTGTTTGGGCTGATTAGGAAACAGGTGGGACCCTGTGATTGGCCAATGCAAGGAAGTGTTGGCTGTGGGATAAGACTAATCAAGGACAGTAGCCTTCTGTAGTGTAATTTCTGGTCACTATACAATGTCACATATGTATGTCACTATATACCATTAATCTGCACAACAATCTAATGTGTGTTGAAGTTAAAGAGAAACATAATTTACTGATGATTACAACAAGTTTAACACAATAATGACGGATCAAACAATATACTCAGTGTGTTTCAAGCAGTATGATGTGTATGTATAACTTGTGTTAAGAATAGTAATCTTTAAAAAAAAAAGGCAATCTGACAAAAGGGAAACATAATGGTGTCAAATCAGAGACAAATATCTCAGTAAAAAATAGTAAACGGTTTGGACAGAATATAATGGTGTCAAGAGTAAGAAAAACTGTTTAAAAGAAAAAGAGACATGTCAGGGCAAGATAGAGGGAAAGTCCCAGTTCCAAGGCCGTCCAAAGCAACCCAGGTGTTTGGAGGCTTTCCAGGGGTAAACTCAAGTCCAAGGCCATCCAAAGTACCAAAGTAACCCCGGTGCTTGGAGACTTTCCAGGGGGAAGTTCACGATGTCAGACCATCCACAATAACCAATAAGCTTAGGTCACAATGTCAGACCATAAATGATAGACGTAATGATAGACCAGTAAGATGAGTAGCAGGTGTGGTCCTTAAGGATATATAAAGCGGAACAACACCACTGTTAGTCTGAGATTTTCTCTGGTGCTGCTCCAGGCTCACTACTGAATGCTCTCAGGTTTTTTGTATACAATAAACTCTGTTGCCTTTAAGTTGACTTCTCCTGCTTTTTATTCGACTTCACTTTTTTGGACCACGATTGGAACTTTGAAACTTAGTTTTTCACCACACTTCTTACACCATAGCTGACAGCCATGTCAGTGTTGTAAGTAGCAGGTGTTTGCAGATGGTGTGAGGACCAATTGTGTTTAGATAGACTGAGCTTGAGTGCTCTAAACCTGTCTCTTTTGTTATGCATTCTTTTAAAGAGATAGTTCACCAAAAAATGAAAATGCACTCATTGTTTACTCAGCACTTTGCTGATGGAGGAGTGGGTGAAGTGGTTGAGTCCAAAAACACTTTAGGAGCTTCAGGGGTAAACAGCATTGCAGCCAAATCCAAGTTAATGGTAACCCATTCTTCAAACGAAAAAAGAAAAAAAAAATCACATCCTGATAGCCTCCTCTGGAGTTAGATAAATGTACTTTTGATCCAATGGTGGAAAAATTAAAAAGATGCAGAAAAGCTGATCTGATCTTGATGGTTAATTTTTGAGGAGCAAATGCAACTAGATGCAAAGAAAAAAGGAGATATAAAAGCTCCTGTTTGATAAGCTGTGTGAAAGAACTTTGTTTGACCCAACTTCTAAGGGTTATTAGCTAGGTGATCTGGTTGGTATTCCTGCCCCACCCTAGGTTTCAAGGTTTCAAAGGTTTTATTTGTCATCTGCACAACAGATACAGCGTACATGTTGGCAATGAAAATCTTAAATCCCAGGCACCTCAAGCAACTCAACATGCAAGTGTCATAAAATAAGACTAAAAATACAAATAACATACACTAGTGCAAATGAAACAATAAGTACAAATGTCAGTAGTAGTGTTTACTAAGTTTATATTGGTTGTAAATATGATGAATAGAAATGATAATGACAGAATGAGAATTATTGTAAACTAAATAAATAAATATAAATTTTTCTTATGAATAATATAATGTGTAAATAAATATGTTGCTATAAACAGATGTAGTGACCTTCAAAGAGCTCAGGAGTTCAGCAGTCTTACAGCCTGTGGGATAAAACTGTCCCTGAGTCTTGTGGTCTTGGTCCGGATGCTGCGGTACCGTCTGCCAGACGGCAGCAGAGAGAACAGTTTGTTGCTGGGGTGATGGGGGTCTTTTAGTATCTTGTAAGCCTTCTTCCTACAACGCTGGATGTAGAGGTCCTCCATGGATGGTAGCTCCGTCCTGGTGATGTGCTGAGCAGTTTTCACCACCCTCTGTAGAGTCTTACGGTTGAGTGCGGTGCAACTGCCGTACCAGGCCGTGATGCAGCCGGTCAGGATACTCTCGATGGTGCACCTGTAGAAGTTGCAGAGTATCCTGGCGTCCATGTTGAACCTCCACAGCCTGCGGAGGAAGAAGAGCCGCTGACGAGCTATCTTTGTGATAACTCTGGTGTGATGAGTCCATGTCAGGTCCTCAGTGATGTGAACCCCGAGGAACCTGAAGCTGCTGACTCTCTCCACAGGAGTCCTGTTGATGGTGATGGGGGCGTGTCCCTCTCTCTGCTTCTTCCTGTAATCCACAATCAGCTCCTTGGTTTTGCTGACGTTGAGATGGAGGTTGTTGTCCTGGCACCAAGATGTCAGGGCTCTGACCTCCTCTCTGTAGGCCGTCTCGTCGCCGTCTGTGATCAGGCCGATGACGGTTGTGTCGTCAGCAAACTTGATGATGGTGTTGGAGCTGTATGTGGCCACGCAGTCGTGCGTGAACAGGGAGTAGAGGACAAGGCTGAGCACGCAACCCTGGGGGGCTCCGGTGTTGAGGGTCCGGCTGGAGGATGTGATGTTCCCCATCCGCACTGCCTGGCGTCTGCCCGTCAGGAAGTTCAGGATCCAGTCACAGAGGGCGCTGTTGAGCCCGAGGTCCCTGAGCTTGATGACGAGCTTGGAGGGCACAATGGTGTTGAATGCTGAACTGTAGTCAATGAACAGCATCCTCACATACTTGTTCCTCTGGTCCAGGTGGGAGAGGGCAGTGTGGAGGGTGAGGGTGATGGCGTTGGCTGTGGACCTGTTCTCTCTGTAAGCAAACTGTAGGGGGTCCAGTGAGTTGGGGAGGGAGGAGGTGATGAACTGTTGACTAACCGCTCAAAGCACTTCATGATGATGGGGGTGAGTGCAACTGGGCGGCAGTGTACCTCCACAGCCGGGGGTCTCTCAAAGCGTGCATAAAAGGTGTTCAGTTCATCTGGGAGAGATGCACACACTTCCTCGGCACCACTTGTTGTTCTTTTATAGTCTGTTATAGTTTTTAGTCCAGACCACATGTTTCTAGCGTTGGAGCCCTTGTAGTCAGACTCCACTTTGTTCTTGTATTGTCTTTTAGCACTGCTAATAGCTCTCCGGAGCGCATACCTGGAGTTCCTGTATTCATCCAAATCACCAGCACTGTGCGTGACAGCCCGAGCTTTGAGTTTGGCTCGGACCTCGCCATTTATCCAGGGCTTCTGATTTGGGAATGTTTGTACAGTAATCCGCTGTACGACGTCATCGATGCATTTGCTGATGTAGCAAATGACCGCGTCTGTGTGTGTGTTKATGTCCTCCTCCTCAAACACACACCACTCTGTGGTGCTGA